ACGCGCGCAAATGTTAGACCTCTTGGAGTGCATAATCGATACGCGGCTTTATTTGAAACGCATTTATGGACGAAAAATAAGCTTAACTTTTACATTTATTCGTATAGGGTGGATGCCCCTATTACCAGCCTTTTAGTGCCAATTTCAATTTCCTCTTGTGTATCTAATGCCAGCATAGCATAGGGCTATGCCTTTTGAGTTTTGGTAGGTACCTATTGTAGGTAAATTTTAGGGGCACTGAAATAAATTCATAACAACTTTTAATTTTAAATCATGCATGTCACAAGTATGGAATATGTATTAAGATAGACGACAACAATTATTTTATTTTAATGTTTTACTTCTTACCTTACTGTGGTTTAGCTTTAAGCAGTTACATTTTATCTTTTAACACTAAACAATTAATTAAAATAATATTATAATAAAAATTATGTATAGTACACCGATTTCTTATAATTTAATCATCCAAGTTTTTGAATCTTTATCATCATTTCAGTCCTTCACAAGTCGACTACAGAACATCATCCTCCATAGATTGCCGCAAAGCATGGTCCTGAACCACTTTCCTTTTTATGACTTTTTCATTTATGTTCTTAAGTTATAATAAAATTAGTATTACTAAGTTGTAGTTAATTACATTTATTGTTTGTTTTTGTCTTTCCCAAAAAATAATTAAATATTGTATGGTGTTCTTAACATATACCAAATGTCTGAAAAGCAAGTACGTATCATTTGTTAAACTTTTAAATCAAACACCAATTTTAAAATATAGACGAATTGACCATAACTTACTTAACTATAAAATAAGTTATGTTTTTTTTTATATAGGATAGGGTGACAAACGAACAGTCCACCTGATGGTAAGTGGCTACTATGACCTATAGACATCTACATCTGTCCTCAATATAGACTCAAGATGCAGATGCGTTGTCACCCGTGAGGACTAAGATGGAATGCCTCTTTGCCAGTAAAAAGGGTCTCCGGTTCTCTACACTCATCATACGAAACAGAGCAGCGTTAAGCTGCTATTCTACGTTGGTTTTGTGTGAGTTCAAATTAATGGTATTTATTCTAGTTTATGACAGCCCTGATTTATTTTACGTGGTTGAAATAAGGTACTTCTTATTATTTACGTCAAACCAAATAACATTCGGGCGACTGACATTATGCACTCCATAAATTTCATATATCTAATTACAGCCCCATTAATTTCCACTAAAAGAAAATAAAAAACTTATAAATTTAAATAAAAATAGCTACATTACTATATCTATAGTCACATTCATACAAATCAAAAAGCCTAAAGATGAGCTAATGTAAAATATGCTTATGTTTTGATTTTTAATTTAACACTGTTAGGTTTAAAACTGTGAGGTAATATTTGAAATATACTTTCCTCTAATTACGAAGAATTTTTAGCCGACCATATTTGTAGTTAAGACTACTAGAAATCTTATTTACGAAGTAAAAAGGCGGAAAGGCTGGAATTAGGGGCGTGGCTGGTATTAGGGGCATTCAACCTACCCGGGGTTTTTCGTGTCCCACAACTCGGGGAGAGCCTCAAAATTTAAAATAAAGTATTTTTCTGGCTGAAGCACATTTGGCGGGAGTGGCGACGGACTGCGCGAGCGCGTGAAACCCGCCTCTTCAATATATTCTGCGTCCGCCTCCATTGCTGTCTGAGCGTTGACTGACGCGTGATTGATGAAATTACATTACACGTTCAATCAAAATTCGTTACTGAATAGTTGATTGACGTAAAAATCAAAATATCCAGATATTTGTCAATCAATTTCATGCAACTGTCAATAACTACATTACACGATAGGTTATTCGTCAATCACAACCGTGATTGTTGTAAAACTGACAGCAAAACCTACCGTGTAATGGGCGTCTTAGTAACGAGACCATGTTCGTCGTTCCACATCTAAATTATATAAAAATGCATTTTTAAATTTCACTAATCAACGTCGCTGCGAAAATTTCTTCTTCTTTGGGCACTTTAAAAATTTATTTATTTAGAAAATAATATTTACAATTACCAGTGTACAGATATTAACTAAATTAAGTATTTCTAGTCATAAAAATATTTATAATTGAGTATAAACTTTTAAAAAACTAATATATATTTGAACGAAGTCGCTCCAATACCGACGTGCAGTCCACCCTCGACGATGTCCGAAAACGGACTGACAGGGCGACGGAGCATGCGCGCTCGCGTAAATATATTTAATTTCAGGAAAAAATGATATATTCTCTTATAAAACAGGGAATAAAAATAAAACTCTCAATTAAAAAAAATTATATTTTTAAGACCTTTTTTTTAGTGTAAGAACTATTTAAAAAGCTTGTGCCGTTTTGGAGAAATATTGCAAAATATGACAAAGATAGGTACTCTTTGGGGATTTTTTTTCTAATAAGGGGTTGACAAAAATACAATTTTGTTCAATTAAAAACATTTACCAAATCCTCTTCTGTTACCCTGTATTTTTTCTTTGTGGATTAAATGAACAGTTATTGAGATTTTTTTACTTAAATATCCACAATTTAGGCATTTCGACGACTGTTAAGGCCTTAACACTTTACAATTAAAAAATTAATAATTACAAATAGTGATAAAAATTGTGTAGTTTTCGAATTACGTCATTATGACAGCCCATCGCAAGTCCACTATGAGCATGACTTCCATAGGTTTCCGCAAAGCATACGGACCGGGGCCACTTTGCATGTCATGAGTTTTTTTTAATAATTTTTGCTTATTGTTGTCTTTCTCAAAAAATAATGAAAATATAAGCGTTTTGTACAACAAAATGTCTAATAGAAAAATAAGTACATCTTTTGCTGAACTTTCCAATTTTATAAGATACTGTTCCTCGCGACTTCGCCCACGAGGAATTTATTACGATTGGATTTTATGAGTTTTAATTTTGTTGCGCGGAACCCTAATTCCTTTTCTAAAATAACAGTAGTCGAAGTTTCTCCTTATAACATTAGCTATGTGCCAGTGAAAGTCCCGTCAAAATCGGTCCAGCAGTTTCGTAGATTAGCCGGTACAAACAGACAAAAATTTTAAAAATTGTGTTTTTGTTATGGGTAACATATATACTTTTTTTTATAGAAAAGGAGGAAAACGAGCATGCGGCTCACCTGATGGTAAGTGACTACCGCCGCCCATGAACAACCGCAACACCAGGGGAATTGCAGATGCGTTGCCGGCCTTTTAGAAAGGTGTAAGCTCTTTTCTTGAAGGTTCCTAAGTCGTATCGGTCCGAAAAATTCGCTGGTGGTAATTGATTCCACAAGGAAGTTGTGCGAGGGAGAAAACTTCTTCTAAATCGCACAGTGGTGGAACGCCAATCATCCAGATGGTATGGATGGTAACGCGAGTTTTGTCGCTATGTGCGATGGTGAAATTGAGCGGCTGGAATTAGTCCGAACAATTCCTCCGAGCACTCCCCGTGATAGATGCGATAAAATACGCAAAGAGATGCAACATCTCTACGCAGTGCCAGTGTATCGAGCCGATCAGAGAGAACTCGGTCGTCGACGATTCGAACCGCTCTGCGCTGGATGCGGTCAAGTGGAAGGAGCTGGCACTGGGGTGCCCCGGCCCAGAGATGAGAACAGTATTCCATGTGGGGCCGAACTTGCGCCTTGTAAAGTTGCAGGCGTTGAGCCGGAATGAAATACTGTCCCGCTCTGCTGAGCACGCCAAGCTTTTTAGAGGCCAATTTGGCCTTCCCTTCCAAGTGACCACGAAACTGCACACTATTCGATATGTCGACGCCAAGGATTCCGATACTAGCTGAGGCAGCAAGGGGAGTGCCTTGAAATTGAGGAGATACGACAAAGGGGTTCTTTTTAGCGGTAAACGCGCAAACTTGTGTCTTCTGGAGATTGAACTGGACTAGATTTAGTCGGCCCCAATCCGAGACTTTGTTAAGCAAAGACTCGACTTCAGACACAAGTTTGTCCCGGTATTCAGCGACGTTTTCCCGAGAAATAATGGCACGGCCGGTATATAAGGCATCACCAGTGCTGTCGTCTGCATAGCAATGAATGCTACCAGTTAGCAACATATCATTGATATGCAGGAGAAACAGCGTTGTTGATAGCACGCAGCCTTGTGGAACACCAGCGTTGATAGGCTTGAAATCAGAGCATGCACCGTCTACTACGACCTTGATGCTCCGATCAGCAAGGAAGCTGGTGATCCATTTGCACAATTTCTCGGGAAGCCCATAGGAAGGAAGCTTCGAAAGAAGCGCTTTGTGCCAGACCCGATCGAAGGCTTTCGCTATGTCCAAATTAACGGCCAATGCCTCCCCCTTGGACTCTACTGCCTCCGCCCATCTATGAGTCAGATAGACTAGAAGATGACCAGCTGATTGACCTCGACGAAAACCGTACTGGCGGTCACTAATCAGCTGGTGATCCTCAAGGTACCTCATGAGCTGGCAGTTTATAATGGATTCCATTATTTTGGAGAACAAGAAAGTGATGGCAATAGGCCTGTAGTTGGACGGGTCTGAGCGGTCGCCTTTTTTAGGGATCGGGTGGACCAAAGCTGTCTTCCATGAATTCGGGACTACGCCTTGGGAGTAGGAGTACCGGAAAAGACGCGTTAAAACCGGTGCCAACTCCGGAGCACACGTCTTCAGCACAATGGGAGGGACTCCATCGGGCCCACTCGACTTGCTGACGTCCAGGGAGAAGAGTGCTGTGTGTATATATATATATATATATATATATATATATATATATATATTTCTTTTTATTCATTCAGTTATTCACAGTTACGCCTCCCCCGTAGATTGCCTCATAGGGGGAATACTTGACTTTCCCATGGTTGCCACACTTGGTAAACGGCTTGGAAATCGCAGTTATTATTATTATGAATTGTAATCAGGTATCTGTTGCTGCTACGACACTCCAGGATCATAAGGGGTGGTGGATTATCTTACGCCGCCACTACACGGCAGTTTTTTAATTATTTTCAGTCATGCTGTGTTAGCCGATAGAACACTATATGTGTCAGGCGTGTTGGGACTGGACGCATCATCGAATATGATATGTGGAGTAGAGGGCCAAGCAAGACAAGCGCTTTGCAATCTTAAACTAATCTTAGAAGCTGGTGATTCTTCACTCAGAGGAGTTGTTAAAACGACGATCCTGCTAGCTTGCATTGAGGACTTGCAAGTAGTCAACCCAATCTACGCTGAATGTAAGTACAACTTTAATATGTTTTAGTATTTTCGTAAGTTGCATGCCATGCTGCAGCTATCAGTACTATAGTTGTAGCACGATTGGGCCGGCTCGACTGGGGAAGGACCACACTCTCACAGAATACCAGCGTAAAATAGCAGCTTAACGCTACCGTGTTTCGTATGGTGAGTGTAGAGAACAGGAGACACACTTTACTGGAAACTAGGCATTCCATCTTAGTCATCACGGGTGACAACGCATCTGCTTCTTGATTCATAATCGAATTGAACTTGTAATAAAAATTATGGGGAGGTGTAACGGGGGATTATCTGATTTATTTTCTCAAATTAACATGCACAAACACTCCGTCCACTGACGGATGAAACTTGCAAACGATTAAAAGCGGAAACCCATTAAATAAGGCAAATACTTCAAGAAAGCATGTTATTAAACACAACAAACTGAAAGCAAATATGTGACTAGTAATATAATAAGGCTAAAAAGTTATATGGAATGAAATAGAGTAGAATAGAAATGTTAATAAAGCAGAATTGAACATAATTTAAAAAAATTAAAAATTTTGTACAACCGACTTCTATATAAATTATTAAGAATAACTCAAAAACTATTGGTCAGACCTTGACAAAATGTATATGGAACTACACGAGAAGCACCAGCTTTTCAATAAAAAAATAATCATCGTAATCGGTTCACCCAGAAAAAAGTTAGGAGGTAACACACATAAAAATAAGAAAAAAAAAACATACAGTCGAATTGAGTACCGTCTAATTTTTGAAGTCGGTAGAAAAGAGAAAAAATGATCGAATAGGCAGTTTAGGGAAGGAAGCCGTTATCTATAACCGACTGTTATAGCCGGTTGAGGCCTTTAGCCTATAACCGACCGACAGTCGGTAAAAGTATATAAAGAGTTGCCACTTGGCAGAAAAAAATCACGGTCTAATCGTTGGATAACTCTTTCATATGCTTTATCTAAATTTTATAGACATTGATAGAGAAATGATATTGTCGATGTATATTTATTATTACGTGGTAGAACCGGGCTGCGAATAGGTTGGCTCGACCGAGATAGGACCATGCTCTCATATCTCATATCTTATACCTAATATAGCGAGCGTGTACGAATACGGCAAGCCTTGAAACTTATAGAGTGGATTATAGTTATCGCGTTGACTATCATAAGCTGGTGATGATTGATTTTGTAATAAAATGATATTTCCGAATATATTGAAGAAATTTATGAATTTTTCTAGTTTTCCCGCAAGAATTTCCAGCGCGTGCGGCTTATCAAGTAGCTAGACTGCCTCTTAATGCTTGTATCGAGATTGAGGCGGTGGCTTTGAGTGGCGAAATAGAAGTAGCCGATGGAACTTCATGTCCCTGCGCCCGTACATACATTTAACAGACGTTTGTACTCTCTATACTATATACATCATAATAATTGAATTTCTTCTTTATATTTTTTTTGTAATTAAAGTAGTATTGGATTATCTAAACATTCAAAATTACAAGTTTGTAACTATTTAAATACAGATTCACAAAGACACTATTTTTTTCTTTTATTTTTACTCATTTATTCATTATTACATACATCTGAAAATTAAATACTGGTCTATCTTTACATAAATAGATCGGCTATACTCACACAATAATAATTTACCTGTGTGTGTAATATATTCTATGATGTGCTTTAGTAGAGTAAGTGTATATTTATGCTGTTTATGTGCGAACACCAAATCTGAAATGCGGCTAATCAATGAGACCAATAAACCCAGGCGTAAATGTAATCATTTATACTATATACTTTATGTGGTAGTGCCAAGTTGCATCTGTATTATGGTTGTAGCACAAATGTATCGGCTCGAACGGGCAAGAACCGTAGACCCTTTTTATTGGAAACGAGGCATTCCATCTTAGTATTTATAATCTGAAATCAACAAATGTTCTTACTGAAAGATTTTTATTTATAGTCTTAATTATTTGTTATTTAGATTTTCTTTATTATTATAATTCATTATTAACTATTTTTAATGTGTGCTATGTTAACCTAATTAGGTATATTAATTATGTAATGATCCTTGTTGGTCGAAATAAAGATATTATTATCTATTATTATTATGGGGTATCTATAAAGTTTTCTCATCTGGTTAGGCAGTATAAATATAAAATTGTAAATGAACATGATAAACATACATAAATATAAATAAAATAAAATAAATACATAAATAATACATAAATAAATAAAAACCTAACCAGATGGAAGCCCTCGGCGGGGAAACCAAACGGCCGAGGGTTAGGGGGAAAGGGGAAGAACCCGGCGTACGATGCGGGCGGTATCGAGGAGCACCGCCTCAGATGACCCGAGAGGCTGACTGGGATTAACCCGTCCGCAGAAACGACAACAGGAATAATTTCGGTCGGCAGACCACCCCACATGTCGGTCACCTCGTGAGCCAGGTCCAGATATTTTGTCAGCTTATCTGTTTCGGCTTTCACGAGGTTCTCGTCATAAGGAATGGTAATTGTTCGCGCCAAATACTGGTTGTCGGTATCGACGTCTAGGGGGCGCGCGCCTCTGGGCGATACCGGTTTGAAGTTCGGCCGAGCGTGGCAAGTGGCTCGCGGGTCGCGAGCGTAAAGGCGAAAGAGTCGTCTGTCAGCTGTGCTTGGAACAGCACGCTGTCATTTTTGTCGGGAACTCGGAATAATTAAGCGCGGACAGTAAATATACGGTCTAGGATTGGTGACGCGCTCCCTACTGGAGAGCTTCCCAGGGACACATGGTGTCTGACTCAGAATCGGCATAAGTGCATTCGGCAATATTAGCTAGTGCGGCCTGATATTCTAGAACCAACTGTTGCGATGTGAAACGGTAGTGACCTTTGATCCGTAAACTCCGTGTGCGTTTTGTGCGTTAACCTTATAACCAGCGATAGTTAGTGGCTTCTGTAAGTTAGTAAATCGTACGATAGAGTTAATTGACTGTCATCGTGACGAAAGAGGAAAGTGACTGTGGACAACCTCGGAAGGCCCCCTCAAGTTGGAGCGGTGTCGACGCTCGGGCTGCTGCCGACGGCCAAGGTCTAGGTTCAATCACCATCAGTCACACCCAGATACACATCACATCACCTGATCTCCCTTGCACTACACAAACACATGCGACCAGACCGACTCCGGAGGGACCAGGCGCCTTGGATATAGGTAAGTAAGCTCCGTCTAATTCCTCCCGGTCGACTGGCCGTAGTATAGAAAGCTCCCCCATATATTTTAGTGTAATTAGAGAAATTCCACGTGGCCATATTCTGGCCCCGTCCCTCTGCTGCTCGTCGATGGGATTACTCATGGGCCCTAATCCCGTCAGCCTTGGTTGGGGCAGCTAGGGTCGTGTACACCAAGAATACCCTTCAATGTGTCCGGTCCATCAGCACAATATCAGGCTTATTCGCAAGAATAGCCCTGTCTGTGACGATGGCCCGGTCCCAGTAGAGCCTGGCGCGGTCATTTTCGAGCACGGCTTCCGGCAAGTAATATTATATGGCAGTTTCCGATCCACGAGACCGTATTTCAGAGCGAGCTCCTGGTTACTAGGTTGTGTCTGTGCAAGTACTCAGAGTTAGAAAGCACCGAACAACCGGAGATGACATGCGTAAGTCACTCACCGGGATGGCGACAAGCTCGACAGATGTCGACGGCGCCATCCTTTAGGATGTATTTCCGATAATTGTTGGTCTTAATAACCTGATCCTGAATCCCACAGACAAAACCTTCGGTTTCCCCAAAGAGGTCACCGAAACGTAGCCAGTGGAGGGAGGCGACTGTGTCTACGAAAGGCTCATGTAGAGCCTTGTAGAACCTTCCGTGGAGCTCCTTCTCCTTCCATACGGTCTCCCGATCTGAAATGCGCTGTACTGCAGAGTCTTGCCATTGCTCGTTGGCTGAGGATAGAGGGGTAAGTCCTTTATCACAAGAAATAACGTCCCTATAGAATGGATCATCCGCTCTCGTCAGAAAGTAATTACGGAGGCTGCACACTTCGCGATTATGCATGGTAAGCACGCTTAAAACGCCGCGTCCACCATGCTTTCGCGGCAAGTACCGCCTCATTACTGACGACCTCGGATGATGCATCCTGTGGGACGTCATAATAGTGCGGACTTTCCTATCCAGAGCGTTCAGTTCAGTCTGAGTCCACCTGAGTATGCCCAATGTATACATGAGAACAGGCATAATCCAACCGTTATTTGCATGTGTCTTATTAACGCCCGACAAAAGACTGTTAAGCGCTTTTGTCAAGCGTGCATAACTGACCGTTTCATGTCCGTCTCATCGATACCTACGTTCTCTGACATACCCAGGTATCGGTATGTTTCAGCCTCGGATAGGGTCTTTATGTTGATGGGCATAGACAAGCCTATGCCCTCAGATTTAGCAACCCTTCCCCTTTCGACAGAGGATCGCACACTTATCCGTCCCCAGCTCCATTCTAATATAAATACTAAAATCACAAGTGATGTTTAGCAATTCCATAAGATGAGAGCTACTGGACTCAAACAATCGCCCTGGAAGATACCCCTTCTTATTCTTATGTGGTTCTCCGCAGCCATCATCAGCTCGCTTAGATGACAAAGGATCGTACTCCACTGCCCCATACACTGCCCGAGGAAGTCTGGAACGGTAGGGTCAACTTTGTACAGCTCGAGGACCCTTTTAAGCCATGTATGACGCAACGATTCGAATGCCTTTTTGTAGTCTATCCAGGCGGCGGAGAGGTTCCGACGGTTGCGTTTAATCACCTTGCCAATGAAAGCGTCAGTGAGGTCAGTGGTTCGTTGGTTCCACGACCACCGCCCCGACATCCTTTTTTAAGCGCGCGATATCACCTGTTGAGTTCAGGTGACGAGTGATTCTCGCGCTAAAAATGGATGTTAGTGTCTTGTATATGGTAGGTAGACAAGTTATGGGGCGGTTTTGCTCGGGTCTGTGGAATCCCGAGTGAAGAGTGAGTGATCCCAGTAGTGAAGAGGCTCGGGAGTGACTTTTGGCCGAGAGCCTCTTGAAACTGTCGGGCGAGCACACCACAAACCTCTTCAGCCAGTAGTGATGCAGTCCGTCGAGTCCCGGACTTTTCCAGTTCAGGGCCCTACGGACCGCCTCAGCTACGTCATCCGGTGTTATGATGACGGGGTCCACGGGCGTAACATTCGCACACTGACTCGCCACAGCTTCCGTCCAAGGGCCCTCGCTGTGGTATACGGGTTCTGACCACAGGCCGCGCCAGAATGCGACAGTGTCGGCCTGATGCATTCCACGTACCATTGGCCGCTCCAATGATTCATAGAGCCTCTTCTGATCACTCTGGAAGAAACGATTTTGGTTGAACCGTGTCGACCTCTCGATATATCGCCGAATCCGCTTCCCCCAAGCAACGATTCTCTACTTCAGGTCGTCTATGCGCTCCGTCAGTTTTTGCGTTATATCCGGCTGGGACAAACTGATATTTGTCCCAGCAAACGCCATCCTGACGGTGCGCACAATTCTCGGCCTATTATTGCCCGAGCTGAAGCATATCAGTCTGCCGATGAGGGCCCTTGCCTTTGCGATGCGGTCCTCAATCCTTCTTCTCCAGGCTGGGATAGCGCTACTTCGTCTAGTAGCGCGTCCAGCCGTGGGAAGTTTGGCGCCAATAATACGATAAACTGCCAGTGCGGCGTCAAAAAGAATTGCAAATCGCAAAGGTCCCGGCTGGCTTCCAAATAGGTCACCAGCATTGGGTTGAGAGCCCTCACGACAGCCCGATTCCGCTTACTTAAGGGTATGCGGGGAAATTGCGATCGATTTTCGAGAGGTGTACTGCGCGTTTCCAAAATAGCCTCTTCCAATATGCTCCTCATTTGCTCTAGTTTGTGGGAGACTATTTCATCATTGTCTGAATCAACTACAACTGGAAAATCCGCGGCGGCATCCACGTGTGCAGATTGCTCTGCAATTAGTGGCGTCGCATTGCCAGCTGTAGCATTTTCACCCGATGAGGGAACAACCTCACGTCGTAGTCGTCGTAATATGTTGGAGCGCAGGATGTATCGAACTCGGTCTGGCAGGTTTTACTCTGATACATGTACAGATGGTTCCAGCTCCGCGAAAAAGTGATGCATCCGAGCCCGATACGCTAACATTCAGTTTCTTCCCCTTTTGCCCTAAAATACGCTCGCAATGCGTTTGCGTTCATCATTTTTGTCCAACGCATACGACTTGTTCCACCAGCGGCGGGTGCTGCTTGCTGAGTCCGAGAAGACCCAGCCGACACCAAGCCCTCTGGTGGGGTTGATGGATGCGGGCGGCTACTAGGTGGTATTGCAGCCCCCCACGCTTGGCTGGCGACCCGCATGCTGTCGCGTCCAGTTCCAGCTCCAGACGCGCGCTGGCGACCTCCAGGCAGCGGCCCTTTGTGCACTCTTTTATTGTCCATCATCCATTGAATGGGCGTCAATTAACGGGAGACGCCCAGGCCCGGCACCGTTTCATGGTGCGGCCATAAACACAGACGGACCTTTGCACCCTCAATTCTGCCGAGGCACGGCGCACACACCTCTTAGCAAGGCGCTGATTGACTGCGCTGACGGAGCAGTTTTGTCACTCAACTGTTACGTCAGCGGGCGGTGGGGTCGTCACTTCCCTACGCCATATTATTATTATTATTAGTCCTAAGGGGTGACAACGCTTTAGCATTTTTAATCGAGGATAGATGTAGATGTATTGGGGCCACAGCAGGGGCGTAGCTACCGCCATATCAGCCGTATCAGTGATACGGGGCCCCCGGGCTACAGAGGACCCAAAGTGTGTAACCAAAAATTCTAAGGACTTCTATGGGACAGGATGTTGGTTTGAATTGTTTAGCTAGCTTAGTTCCTAGGAGCATTCATTGTAAGTAATAACCTATAATCAATATATAATTATTTTAATTCTATACGAGAGTTTTTGTTCCTTTTGTGAAAAATCTTTACCCTTCATTTGGGCCCCCCGACAAATTTTGATACAGGGATCGAGGCACGCTACTCCACTGGGCCACAGTATCCACTTAACATCAGGTGGACTGTATACTTGTGTGTTACCTTTCTTCTATAAAAAAAAAAAAACTCTAACCACAAGCATAATCCACCGTCAAAAGGCTTTATCTGCCGCATTATTAAGCGATATCCGAAAGAGTCACGTGTCGAAGAAAATTAAAAAAAAATCCTTGCTATACGAGGGGTACACTGAAATGATCGGGAATAAGAAAAACCACATGCACGGTATAGCTAAATTGTATTTTATTGTTTTTCGAAGTATTCTCCGTTCAACTTAATGCACTTTTCCATTCGTGCAAACCAATGATTAAAACAGTAATTCCAGTCAGAAGTTGATGTTGACAAAATGGCTGATTTGTACGCCTCCACAACTGCTTCGGGGTCTTCAAACCGTTGACCGCGTAATAAATCTTTCATTCTAGGGAATGTAAAAAAATCGTTTGGGCTCAGGTCAGGACTGTACGGAGGACGGCTCATCAGCTCAACGTTTTTCTGCTTCAAAAATCATTTGTCTTCCGAGCCATATGGGAGCTCGCATTATCGTCATGTAAGATGATGCGACGTTTCGGGTTATTTTTTCGGAGTTTGGCTATCATTTCTGGCAAACATAACCATATACCACTCAGCGGTAACCGTTCTGCGTTCCTGTAAAGGAATTGTAGCAACATGCCCCTTCTTCGAGACAAACGTAGCGACCATTTTCTTTGACACGCTGCGGGAGCGAATCACTTTGGTTGGTTTGACCTCGTTTTCGAAGATCCAAACTGCTGACTGATGTTTTCTTTCAGTTTCGTATGAATAAATCCATGATTCGTCACCTGAGACGATATTATAAACGGCATTTGACTTCCCTCCGTTGAAGCGTTGCAGAGTATTACGGCACCAATCTACGTGAGCCGCCTTTTGCTTTTCGGACAAATTGTGGGGAACCCAGCGGGAAACTAGCTTTCTTACACACAGCTCATTATGTAATATCGACTGAATGACAGTCATTCCGATAATGATAACAGCCCGAATCTACTCGTATGTCACATAACGGTCATCTAATATAATAGTTCGTACAGCTGCGATGTTTTCAGGCGTGAACGCTGTTCGTGGTCGACCTGCAGAAGAAACAGTGCACACGACCGCGTCGGAACTCGGCATACCAGCGGTATATTATCGTTTGACTCGGTGCTTCAACATCATAAATCGAAATCGCTGAGACATTTATCTTGAGATAAGCCGCGACGAAAATTGTGATAAGTTATGGCACGGAAATGTCACGCGTGAGCTCCATTTCTGTGAACGACGTGTCAACTTTAAACCAACAGTTTTTGTTTTTAAACATTTTTTTTAATTGTTTGAATGTCATTAAGATTCTAAGAAGCCAGTATAAAAATTCTAAAAAAGGTTTTATTGTAATTCAATCCGAAATATTCTATTCCCGATCATTTCAGTGTGCCCTAGTATATGTAAATCAGACACAAGAACCGGCTTACGTAAGAACGGAAACGAGAAGTAAGGGGCGATACGTACGAGCTTGGCGGCCAGGTGTTTACTGTCACAGATCCCTCGTGCTCTCTGAAACAAACATTTACCCACGGTAGCTAACTGTGAAGGATGGTGATGAGAATCACCGTCAGTGTATAGAAAAAAAGACACATACGAGTACAGATAGATATTTAAATTATTTAACCGTTTAAATATCTATCTGTATGGGTCTTTTGCCTGCTGTACTGCCATGCAGGAGTGTACAAGCTTGATTGTGAATGTGGTCTCTGTTATATAGGACAAACTAAAAGATCCATAAAAACCCGCGTTAGAGAACACATAGCTGATGTGAAGAATCGACGCTCCGGCAAGTCTGCAGTCTGTCTGTCTGCAGTGCAGTGAATACGTACAGGATCGCCCCCGTCACTACATTAGATTTGATAGACCACAAATCCTCGCTAAAGAACACCGATTCCTTCCAAGGATGATTCACGAGGCTATTGAAATAAAAAAAACATCCTAATTTCAATAGAGAAGATGGCTGGGTGCTACCATCTGCTTGGGATCCCATAATTAATAAAATTAAATCCCAACCCAAGCATACAACTGTAAGACTTCAGATTAAGATACTGTAAGTTCATACTGCGTAGATCGGAAGAAAAATTAATAATTTTCAATCTGGAGGTAGCCGTGGTTAACTAAGACATTGGGACGTCATACAACTCAGTCCTCCCCGTGACCATGGGTGCTGGAAAGTGCTCGAAACGTCGGGAATATAAAATAAGTTAATATATGCGATAAAATCCGTAAAATTAGTTCGCGTAAATATAAGAAATCATTATGTAAACCGACTTCAATATAAATTATTAAGGATAACTAAAAAACTACTGGTCCGACCTTGCTCAAATTCATATGGAATCACATGAGAAGCACCAGCTTTCAAATAAAAAAGAATCATCAAAATCGGTTAACCTAAAAAAAGTTACGAGGTAACACACAAAATAAAATACAGTCGAATTGAGTACCTCCTTCTTTTTTAAAGTGGGTAGAAAAGAAGTAAAAAAGAAGATCAAATAAAAATTAATTAAACGTCATAAAGAAATGCTTTTAAAAAAATTAGATTGTCATTTATTACACACATACATTTCCAAAGACCGTAGTACCTAATGCCATTTCTATACATTTAACCGTACGTCCGGCACATAGGCGTTCCAGGTTTTTATTATAAATGACGTTGCGTGCTACGAGTTGCGAATCTTTTACTTAAATCTATTTAAATTTAATGGATTCGAGCAAAGGTCTTCTAGTGTGAATGCCATTTTGTATAATTTCCTTTGTTTTGTTCTATTTATTCTAAAAAGCGCTTTTTAAACAATCTAACAGGAGGTGAATACATACTACACTATACTTTATCACACTTTTTACTCTTGGTAAGATAATACCACTTCCTCCTCTTTAGCCCACAAAAAGTCCACTACTGGACATAGGTCACTTTCATAGTAGGAAGGATTTACCATAATCGTTACCCTTGGTGGCGATTTGGCGGTTGTAGTGTCAGTCTGTCCGATGTCTCGCACCTTTGACGATGGTTCCTGATGCCGGGCTAAATATTTTTTACACCCGGTATAAATGTCACAACCCAAAGACTTAATTAGCCGTTAGTTAAAAAAAAATTAACAATATTAAAATTTTGAAACGATAGAAAAATCGGTAATATTAACTTCGATAATAATCTTAATGACGTAATTTTGTTTATATGCCATCTTTGTCTATTCAGCTTGAAAGCTTCCACTAACATTTCAACATGCATTCAAATAAAAAATATAGTGTTAAATAGGTTGTTATTACTTACAGATACGTTCTAAACTTCTTATGTTGTATTCGACAGTTACTAAAAGGATTATAGTGCCCAAGTGTACGGCAAGCACAGGTGCACTCTCTATTCCCTCATTCTCATAGTTCGATGAGACGCGGGGGTGAGACACCGCCAACTTCCTGACTCCGGGCAGCTATTGAGAATTTCTTAACGGAAAAACTCAGTAACTGATTTTTTTTCGGTATTGTTATTATTTCTGAACACCAATTGTGTGATTTAATTTGTTTAAACGTGGAATAAAATAATTTTTATTACTTCCCGTTGTGACAACCCTAGCAATTTTATTGCTTACCTTGCGGTCCGTCCCGGCTTCGCACGGGTGATTTCTGGATCACATCGACAATAGCGCCACCTACCGGATCCGATTGTGAATCTAAACCATCCAAGGACCTACTCAAACACACAATTTTTTTTATCAAAATCTATCGAACCATTTTCGAGTTTTAACGAGACTAACGGAAAGCAATTGGTTTATATTTATAGATGTTGGCTTTTCCAACAACATCAATCGCGATGACTGTGACTTATGTTCTTCTTAGGCTGTGACTAGTCGCCTTTAGTTAATAAATGGCATTGACCTAAATGCCTAGCCTAAAATAAACGTAAAAAATTGGTTGACCAAAAGTCAGCCCTTTCAATGCGCGAAATGAACGGCTCCGTGGCGCAATGGCTTAGCAATAAGTTGCTGCGCTGTGGGCCGCGGGTTCGAATCTCGCACGGAACAAGTATTTGTATAGCCTAGAAATAATTGTTCCAGGTCTGGATATTTGTCCTTGTGCAATTTATGTTTGTAAACTGTCTCCACGATACAGGAGAAAATCCTAGTGAGGAGTAACTTTTTTTTTTCATAAAATAAAAGGCAGCTTTTTCTAGGCATTTTATTGAATGCCAAGGCTAAAGTAAATGACAATCAGCCCAATTAACCAGCTGATGAAATCGCCGGACTGCGACAAATAAGAGCCCATAAGATCTTTTACATTTCACTAAGTTGCTTCTTATACGATACCGCCGAAATAAGATGATGATGGATTCTCTCAAATCTATTAGTTTATTATGAAAAGAACAGTTAGTAGAATAAATTAAATGTTGGTTAAAGTTACAGTCTATATACCTCCACTGCTGGGCATAGACCTCTCATTTCTGAGAGAGTTTTGTAAGAAAATATCAGCCGCGCTGCCCCAATGCATGTTGCCAAACTTCACATGTCTTTGAAATATTTCTTTTTTTCTTATATCTCATACATGCAGTGCATGTTTCTTCACCGCCGAGCACGTGGTAAATCAGCACTTAAAATTGCAAATATATCAATTTAATTGGTGCCAGCGGGGATCGAACCCGGATTGCTCGCGTACTGTTAAATTTACAGCTAGCGCTTAGTCCCTGAGCTACTCGTAGCACGGCCCCAAGGCAAGTAAAAATAAAGATGTTGACATATTTGAAACCAAGTAGAAGGTCATTATTATATAAAATCTCAGAAATCGTAATTATGTTATGTAAAATAATGTTTTTCATTGATATACTTATAAAAACATTATACAAAAAACTTCACAAACATTAACTTAATAGTTACAAAAGTACAATAGTTAACCAGTGTCATCGATAGGTTGTGCTGCGCAAATGTAATGCAGTAGATGTATTTTCATAACTGATCTTTATGACTCATAGGCGGAATAGCTCATGGGTTGGTGAAGGCGAAAAAACTGCAGGAAATGGACCTGTCCAACTGTAGGACTGATTTGCTCTATAATATAAATATAATTATAATTGTAATGGCTGGCAGACAGATTGACGACCGCAATATAAGACGTCATGCACCTTTGACGTTGCCATCTGTAGTTTATTTGGCTTTTTTGTTTGGTATTTTGTTTGGCTCTGACGTAACAGATTTAGTTATACCGCCATATATCGAAAGCTATTAGATTTTTCTGGGGTTTCCAATAGCCTTAGTAGCTCAGATGGTTAGCGATCCCCGCCGGGACCAATGAATTTTGTTAATTGCAATTTTAAGTGCTAATTTATTACGTGCTCGGTGGTGACGAGGTAGAAAATCAGTAAAGCGTTACATACGTTATCTTTATTATGTTTAAAAATAGCACAACAATAGCTTATTATAATTAGTATTTACAGTGTAGTGGCGGCGTAAGAATATCCACTACCCCGAGTCGTCTCGTGGATGTCGAAAGAGGGGACAGAAGGAAACTGAACCAAAAGATGTGCAGCAGCATTTTCCTAATTAATAAAAAATAACATGCGTCAGTGTCGTGGAACACTCGGTTGGAACGAATTACATTACGTAGTATTTTTTTTATGGGATAAGGGTGACAAACGAGCACACAGTCCACCTGATGTTAAGTGGTTGCTGTGGCCCATAGACATCTACATCTATCCTCTATTACAAATCAAAATGCAGATGCGTTGTCAGTTGTCACCCGTGAGGACTAAGATGGAATGCCTCATTTCCAGTAAAAAGGGTCTCTCGTTCTCTACACTCACCATAAGAAATACAGCAGCGTTAAGCTGC